AAAAAGATTCACTAATCAGATTTCTTGTTAAATAAACTATTTAGCTGCGATCATATATAGTAAACTTCTATGGAATTCGCACATTGAACAAAAGACCACCAAAGCCTGAACGGCGTTGAAAAATGCGTTGGAGAGACGAAGGATCTGCCGCTTAGAGGAATCCTAAATAATTACACCTCAATGATAAAACCCATTATCAATCAGCTATGCATCTGGGATGAGGTTAAAAACAGACTCTCATTTAATAGCTTGGGAAATTTCAGCCCCGCTGGGTCTGGATAAATCATTTCGCCCATCCGACTATTGCAGCGTGTTTCAAACCAACTTCTAAACTTCTTCTATCGGACAGCTGGGCGGCACTCAAAGCGTTTGAGTCGGTCACATGCAGTTCAAGAACTGTAGCGGACTGCCGCACTTTATATGGGTGCCGAGCACCAGAACATACTATGCAACGAAAAGTCGGCCAACTTGCAAGAAAGGGTACCTCCATTCCACTTTCGTAGTCCTAGACGGGTTTAGGCAAGCCGCTCGCTACCTGCAAGCTCTTTCTTTCTAAAGGATTTATATCTTAAGAGATAAAGCGGCAGGTGGGCAAGTCTACCTACGTGCAATAATGCATAACTTATGGGACCAACATGGAACGAGAAGCAGACGAAGGCCTTGTTCATATCTAGCAGAGGGCACTTAGTCACAGCCATGTTTCTATCGATATGCACATTGAGATGTTAGGGGTTCCCTACAACGACTTATTCAGAACAAGCACAGAGGAATAAGAGCCAGAAAGCTTGCTGCATCTGTTATGAGAATATGCTGTACTTTGCAAAAAAGACGGAAATTCTTTGGTTCAGAACTTCTCAAAGGCTAAACCGACATAGCCGAAGTAGGAATACGGCAACTTTTGAGTTAATTTAAGGGCCTAGTTGTTCTAGTGGGGTCACTGGCAGCCACTTCAGTTTTACCATATTTAACCTACTGATGACTACAAAACGGCTACAATCTTCACATCTCTCTGAGAGAATAAGTCTCGATAAGCCAAGCCATGGACTGCGTGGTGTGAAAAAGGCGTAGAAGTAGGAGTTTACGTGTCGGTGGTGACAGCAAAGCTGCACTCATCTCACTAAACAACTTTAAAATTAAATTGGTAATGCAAGTCTCGGCTAAATTATGTTTGAAAACCTAACGAGCGTGTTTTACTATCCACTGATAAAAAGTTTTGTTACGTCAACTAGGCTTATTTCTCTCAACACGACATTTGACAATTACATAGTATAATAAATTCATGGTTGCTAGGTTTCTCGAGACTACCTGACAATGAGGCATCTGACTACTTGTTGGATTACTGTCTGGTAACTTCTTGTGCTAACTTATTTACTTATGATAACTACATTTTCACTGCCAGCCACGAAGCAGTTGAGACGACTTTTTGGGGTTCTGCTTTTCACTAGCAAGGATTAGTTTTTGTTTCTGTAACCTGCTGCCAGCAAACGAGCGACATGTTTGTCAATATTTAATGAGCAACCAAGATATTATTGTTGTCTCTTTCGTATTTTGTTTGCAGCCCACAACATAACTTCATAAAAAAATTATCGATTTCTATGTTTAGTTCAAAAGGTATTATTTCTTTCAAATCTTCATCATGCATATTTCCCACACACTTTCACTTAAAATTCAATGTACTTACAGCTTACCTGGAGTTTCCCAGTAAGCCGACAATTTTTCTGTCTTTAACAATTCGACCGATCGACTAGACCAACCTGTCGGCCTGTCAAAATGTCAAAAGTAAAATGACGGGCTTTACGCAACGTTGCATACTTATTTAAATATGTAGATATGTATGATTACACGTGCATATATATGGAAAATATACACACATATGCCTGTACATACATACATAGAGTATATGTATATGCCTGCATTACAACGCGGTCAAAACGTCTAGACTATGTCTAAAAATATATATATATATAGTTTAGTTAAAAATATTTTATAACGCATACATATGCACATACTTAGATATATACTTATGTGTTAAAAAAATTGCAAGGGCAGTGAAAATTAATATGCGGCTGCTTGTAGGGCTAAGCAGACAATACTTTAAAGCACGTTTATACTATATGAGTGTTTGTGTGTTTCTTTCTTTTGCGAGCAAGCGTTTGAACTTAGAACACACGCCGTTGATGTTTTCTTCGCTATTCTTTCCTTTTACAAAAGCTTACAATATTGACGCGTCACAAAGCATGTTGCTGACGGCATATTAAATTTTGAAAGAAAAACTAGTGGGTATTAATTAGTTACATGCTGTCGGCTAAGTAATATGCATGGTGGCGGTAATTACATGAAGTGGGCGGTTACGTGAATAGGTTTGACATGGGAAAATTGGTAGAATTGGTAACAAGAATTCTTAAAAAATATTAAGCAAATTGGCAAAAGTAAAGAAAAAGCTTGAAACTTACCAAAGTTCGTTACTATTCTATGCTTATATGCTTTACAACTACTTATAAAGAATTAACTAATTGTAAACAGCGAATACGAAGACTTGCGTCGCACAAAAAAATGTAAGAAATCAAGCTTTTACTATCGAAAAATGCCAAAAAATTTCAGTTTTTAAACGAGTATAACTCTTTTGTCGTTTGAACCCTAATGTAGGTGAAAAAAAACAAAAACTAAGGAAATCACTATACTTTTATAACCCTTTTGTCACTCATCTACCACCTTTTTTTATCAAAACAAATAAAAAAATACTTTCCAGTTACTTACAACCAACGCAAACCCCACTATTACTACTAACTCACTCACTGCCAGACCACGCCTTTTGTGCGTTCAACGAACTAATATCTCATTTTTGCACAATATAATAACCAATTACAGTCAACGCCATAGCTGCGCATACAGCATAAACATAGTTAGTACAACAACATAACAAAAACTCGACTTCCAAACTCTCCCACCATTTGCAATACATAGCTAATAGAAATCGGAATACAACAACCAAAAAAATTAAAATAAAAAGGCAAAACAAAATTTTGCCTACTTTAAATGCAGACAACGTTTCTAATTGTTAATAAAAATTATTTGCATTGCATTTTAATTGAAAGATTTCAAATTTTCTGCACTCACAGCAGGCAAAGATAGGAAAGGCGACAACAACAATAGTGAAAATTTTTGATGAGCTCGTAAAGGCTAACCGCCTGCGCAACGCGACCACTGTACGACATATATACAAGCATACATACACACTAAGGTGGTCTTTAAAAAATATGAAAATCTAAAGATTGCATTGGAGGACCCCTTCTTTATTTATTTTTTTTTTCAAAGTATAAAAAAGGGCTTTCCCGAAAACTTTGAGACAATTTTTAGGGTATTTTATTAAGATGTCAAAAATTTAAATTTGATAACCTGTATAAGTACACATATTTTTGAAAACTCTAAAGTGTGCCATTTATTTCAGGTTTTTCGGAGTGAATGCAACATTTTACAACATTTTGCTTAAGTTCTAAATTTCACTGGTTTACAAAGAATTATTTTGAATACCAAGAAACTCATGTATAGGAGAGAGTAACAGGGCATTTCTGGCAACTAGTATGTTTTAATTCACCACAGTCTTTCGAATGACTAAAGTCTTTGTCTTTTGACAATAAGTTTTCTAAACATTTAATAAAAAATAAAAAAATATATGTATATATTCTTTTTTTCAAATCAATGTTTAAGTGAAAAGTTAAAATAAAATTAATCTCAAACCAATTAAACTCAAAAAAAAAAAAAGATAAATAAAAGCTCCTAAGAAATAAATGCAATTAGAAAAATTTATCTACATATGTAGATATTTTTTCTTTTTAAAACAACAAGATCAAAAAATTAAAAAAGGAAAAATATGTTACTAGGAAGTAAACAAAAAAAATATTAAAAAGTTAATAAATAAATAATACATAAAATAAATGTTTACAAATTAAATAAATTTAAAAAATATATATATATCTATATTTTTCTTTTCAAAACAATAAAAGCTAAACACTAAAAAAATTAAATTAAAATGAGGGAAAAATTAAATAAAAGAAGTTCCTCTGCCCGAGTGTTCGAACTTCGGATCTATCGAATGGCATCCCAGTATTCCGCTCACTCGACCATACATGTCCATTTGGAACATGCTTAAGTGATTTTTTTCAAAAGAGCTTTTCACCATGAAAGTGGGCAACGGAGCTTTTTTATAAATCTTTCAAACTATCTTGCTTACTGTCTTTCATTTGTCTTACGAAAGACTCTTAACTACATATTCTAGCCAGAATTAACCAGTAAGTGTGCCTGTCTGAGCTCAAAACGCACTTTCCTTTCATATTCTTTATGATAACAAAATATGTCAAAATATGTATAGAATTTAATATTTTCGAACCCTGGTAAAGACCCCTAAAATGATTCTAAAATTTTTCAATTTTCGTGGATGCACTCATTTTGTACGTTAAACGAAACAAAGGAGCGTATCGTACAAAATTTGATGTTTGATATTTTTTAAGGACCACCCTAGTGCTCCATATACATATTCGTAGATACACGCGTTTCTAAACAAAAGTCAGCGTCGAAATCGCATACACGAAATGTTTGCTAACTCACAAAAAAAAAATAATAATAGTAAAATCAATGCAAAACGAAATTAAAAAAGTAATTGAAAAATAAAAATAAAAAAATAACAAAAAAAAACATAAAAACCAAAATTTCAATTGTATGGTTATTACAAATATGTAAGTCGTAGGCCTCTCGTACACAAAATGCTGTTGTTGCTTTATTTTAAACGATAATCGTGTTCTTTAGCGATTACAGCAATGCCAGCAACAATAGTAGTCACTTTAACAACACAGCAGCAGTCAAATTAAAAACTCATATAAACATGTAATAAGTACAACGGCAATTGAATATATAGTTTTAAAAAACAAAAACAAAAACCAAGCAGAGCGCATGGAAAT